CATTCAAGCAATTGAGAGCAATAAAGGTACTATCAAATATTTCCAGAATCCATTGCCCAGATGGTGTTGACATAAGGGCTTGTGTAGATGCTATAACCTCCCCTGAACAGTTAGCACTGTTAAGCAATAGCTATGCCTCAACTATGCCAAATTGGTTGACCACGCGGTTTTTTACACCGGATCTTGAAAGACACATTCTCGAAGAACATGGCTATGGTGACGAGTCTGGAGTTCGAATGATGAGAACAATGGATGATTTGCATCTAATTGACTTTGTCGAGTTACAGTTGTGGCATCAGGTTTAGCAGATTATTTGAAGAGGTTTGTTGTAATTCAGCCTGGTGACTGGCCATGCCAATTTTATTGCAGACAACTGATATATGAATCTCTCACCCAGTATCAGCAATCAAGTGCAGCATCTCAACAGGAGCATCAGTCGTCCTCCAATACTGTGGAAAATTGCAACTCCAGAAGTGATCAAATCCCTGCCATGACATCTCTCATCCCCACCATGGGTCCTTTGCACATTTCCCTAAATAGTAGAGAAGACATTTTTCATACATTTAGACCGTTCTTCAACCAAGTTTACAATTACTTGTTCCCAAACAGTAAGCTGACAAAATCACCCAAACCCTGGAGAATAAATCTCATACTAGAGACAGTGTATGGTGGTTGGACATTAATACGAGATCAAGTGATGACCAAATTTCAAAATTCGAAGGACACTCAATATGGTACACTACTCAATTTGTTAGAAAACTATATCCCACTGGTTTTGACAATTTATACAATCACTTTCAAAAGAAACAATTTCAAAGAATACTACAATTCGATGATCCGGGTGTGGGTAATGTTCCTTTGCCTAAAGCGACGTCATTACAATAAAGCCCCCCTTGTGTGGTTGTCAAACACTTCCCACTGGAAAAGCAAGTACAATGAGCTTTATGAACAATTTTCCACATGGCCCACAATTTTTGATGAATATCCAGTGGAGAATACACATAGCATCATCCGAGCCCAAACTCAGCCTTCCGACACTGCTGCTAAACTTCAGGAAAGGGCAAAAGGTATCTTTCAATCCAAGACCAAACAAGCTAACTTTCGATTAAATTTCACCCCTCCAAAACACTTCAGTTTTTCACAGCAGCAACTTAAGTACCTAAAGGTCCGATGTGCAGAATTTTTGACAAACATTTTCATTGTTATAAATGATCACATTGGTTGTGCTTCTAGTTTTATAAGAAGGAAAACAAAATATGTCCGCTTACCACACATTTTTGGAGAAGCAGAAGTTAAATACACGGCTCTTCCTCTTGGCTTCAGCGCAAAGCATGAACCAAACCAAGATTGCATATGTGACCTCCACTCGTGCACCATTAATGATGATGATGAATCATGGAAAATATTTCAAGGGTGTTGGCATTCATTCCATGTTAAATGTCTCAATGGCAATACTTTCTGTCCAATTTGTCATGCCTTTCTTCAAAGTAAAGTCGAGGAGCTTGGTAAAGTTGCCAAAGATGCCATTTTACATCCAAATCCTACCAAGGAGGCCCAGCTCGATGATAATCCTGATGATGAACCAGCCAATATGGAAACTCTGCCAACTGTTGATCTACAAAGTATAGATGAAACAATAAACAAACTGAGTGACAAAATTGCAAATTTACACCCACCACCAAAGCCTTCTAATCACCATCTGCAACAAGAGCAAGCACCATCAGCTAATTCTGATTCCACTCAGCATAACCGACACAAAAAGCGGCAACCTCTTCAGGAAGTTCAAAATTTTGTTAACCATGTTGTGCAGCAGGAACCACCTCAACAATCACAACAACCACAGCAAAACACAAATGGAATAATTGAATGGCTGTTCCCCACAAGTATCTGCCAAACCCAAATAGGTGGAAGACCAATTGCAAGTAATGCTTGCACAATTATTGCTTCAATGTGGTGCCGGAAGTTTCTTTTAAAAACATTGGCCATGCCATCTAACAAAAGTGATATCCGAGCTATGACAAGCAGTTACAAACAAACAATTTTGAATGGGAACTTATTGTATCAAGGTTTGAATCTACCTAACAACCAACCAAATTTGGAAGTTCGAGATGTGGTCAACAAGATCAAGGATCTGAACTTGCAAATTTTGCACGATTTGGGATTCTTCAATGTGGATGACATTAAAGAAACATTTGTTCATATGCTTTCGTTTTGATTATCCCACCAGCCAATTCAGTGGCCATACTTATTGATAATGGAAACCTGGCTGTGTTTGACAGTCATCAGCATGGCAATCAAGGTGGTCTAGTTCTCGTATGCAAGCTTGCAGAAATACATGAACTTTTCCATTATCTTGGAGAAAAACATAACTTGTGTGGCAGCAACTTTGCCGAACTTGTTATGAATGTAATATAGAGCATGACATAATTTGTTGGGAAATGTTCAATTTAAATAAAATATTGCAAATCAATGTACATTTATAAGAAGTCAGTAAATATATCGTTTTCAATCATTTCAATAATTTGTGTTTTATTGTACAATTAGTGAACACAGGCAAATGAAGGCATCTATTAAAAATCATTCAATTGGTTGATTAATTAAGTTGAAACTTAATTAAATAAACAAAGCAAGTTGCTAACGGTATATGTGAAACAAACCAATGCATTTCATCAGACAAATACAAGTATTAAACGAGATTCTATTTTTGAGAAAAAATTGTATAAAGGTTGAGCTCAACTTTTGTATGATATTCAGACATTGAAAAGTTTATTTATTATTAAATTTACATGACCAAGTTAGGCTTTGAAAAAACCATATTCGAAATATAAATGGTACTAAAGTTACTTCTAGCAATACAAGAAAGCTAAAAATGCCCATTTGTAGTGGGAAAACACATTCAACTCTTCGCGTGAATCGCGCCATATTAGCCTCCTGCACATATAGTAATTTCAGCCGAAAGGAATCCCAGTTGTTTGGAATGTATTTTAATAGCATGCTCAGATTATAGCGTGCGCTTTTAAAGGCGAAATTTGTCTTGAAGGGCAATTTTTCACTCAAAACGATTTTGAATTTATTTTTTCCACAACTCTAAAGGATTCAAAAATAGGATCATAATTTTGGAGATTTCGGTTAGATTTTTTGTAATTTGGCTCTGTTGGGACACGGTTTAAACACTGAATGAGACATAATTTAAAATATTTTTTGTTCTAGAAGGAGTAACGGGTTGATTTTCCTATACAAGAATTAACAAATTAGAACCAGAAACTATGACAAAAGATGAACCTAGTAGTTCAAATACATTTGCGATCCTTTTATCCAATATACCGGGCATCAAAAGTGAACCAATATGCAATGTTTGAAATACAACCCAGGATTTCAATGGGAAGGGCAATTTTTATGTCAACAAAATACTGCTTATCGAAAGCAATAAACAATCGGATTACAAAATTTAGTACAAAAAATTTGGAGATTTCGTCTAGATTTTGAGCTGTCGGAACTTTGCTTGCCGTACCCCTGTCCTGGGCCTAGAACGTCAACACCTGCGAAGGCATGTGAACTTTTTCCTCACCCTGTACAAACGTGAAATTATCTGGGGAAAACACAACCAGAACTGACACCTAAAGTTGTAAGGAACATCTTATGTACCTTCTCTGGTTTCATTCAGCAAACGTGTAGCTGACAGACCCTTCTTTCAGCACGCGCGTGGCAAAGTTGTGTTCATTACATTGGTCTACTTCTTCGTGTATAAATGTGCTCATCACTCTCACAAATTTGGCTCAAATCACTTTAAAATTCGTCCTCTATCGAACCATGGGTACCAGTTCAAGTACAAGTTTGTTTTACGCCATTTAAGCAAGCGAGTTGCCGCAGAATTCACGAATAAATACAACAGTTTGAAAGGCACAACTACAAGTCCAAACCAAGGTATCTTTGTCGCCATTATTTGAACAAAATTTACCGTTAAAAAGGACATATTTAACATCTGAAGCAAAGTTGGTGTGCTAATAAAGAACTCACCATTCTTTAAATATCTTGATCATCGCTGAGAGAAGTTCAGATCTCAAACAAACTTTCTCTTTGTTGTTTTGATTCAAAATTCGAATTCCAACGAAAAAATCAAAAAAATCATGGAAATGGCGTCATTTTCACTCAAAATCCGCCATGTTTTTGGCTTCACTTTGTTGACTGAACGAAGTATAGGAGCAGGTCCTCCAGTTATTATACAGCTCAGTGATATACACTCAGAGTAACATCACACAAACATATTCTATTTATGTCTCATAGGTTCATAGGGTACACAGTGCATAATCTCTTGGCAGCAATAGCCTATAACATGCATAGAGAAAGAAAGGTTGCCACAACAGCAGATGGCAAAAATAATCAAAATAATCTTTTTTAGTTATTTTAATTAAATGTTTTAATTTATTTTTGTATTTTTTATATGTGGTTTCTCTCTTAACGCTTGGGTTTTTTAGATACTTTTTATAAAGTTTGTTTTTAATTTCTATAGATTTAGAAATACCTTGAGTCATCCAGGGAGTTTTTAGTCAACAGTTCGTTTTTGTCTGTTTACCTCTTTTCAAGCACTTGTATTAGGTTATTATGAAATATGTCGTATGCTTTGCAAGGGTCATTGTCTTGATGTCTTAATAATGTTATCCAATGACATCAATTTTATGATATTTGAAAATGATAAAAGATTGCAATTGTTTATTATTCTTCAATGTTGCACCTTCAGAATTATATATTTTCCTTGCTAAAGATGTAATATGAAAAATAGGAAGATGATCTGAAATATCAATAAAAATCAATCCATTCTTACTGCTTTCAATTTGTTCAATGTCATTGGTGAATATATTGTCAATTAATGTTGTGGTGTGTTCCGTTATCCTCATAGGCCTAGTTATAAGAGGGAGAAATGATGACGTAAAAAGTTGCTGACTGAATCTGTCCAAAATGTCACAACTTTCAGTTTTTAACAGGTCTATGTTAAAATCCCCCATTTAATAACTCAATTCAATCCGCCAATATTAATTTCCGACGTATATGACGGGAAGATTAAATATGAAAGAGCTCGGCGAGTATTTGCAGTAGAAATACAAAAATACCACCAATATATATATTCCGAAATATTCGTATAATTTTATTGTTTCTCGCTCAATTTCAAGTGAATTTCTTACCTTGAAATGATCAAGGTGGTGAAATTTATGCAAATGACGCATTACCAATTTTGCTGCTGCATTTTGAATGTACTGCTTCATTCAAATGCCTGTATCTTTGCTTCTTTTCAACGTACAATAACGACAAATATACCGGAAGAATCGCCATCTTTCATTCTATAGCTCGGAGCAGTCTCGGGAAATTGCAAAATAATCTATGCCTATTATGGTGATTCTCGTGGTCGGAAAGTGTTCGGCCAACTTCGGACACCAAATTCTTGGTAAAGCATTACAGTTTCCTGGCACAAGACTGCAGAAATCACTTCCGGAGTGTTTGTGTACTCTAGATACGGATTTTGATTGGCTTAGGCAGAAAAACAAACCTTTTAGAGCAATTTTGCTGATTATCGCGCACAAGCGTTGTAATGTATTGTGTTGTAATTTTATTGTTTGAGTCACATCCTGAAGACGTTCTTGGCTTTATTTTGCACACTGATAGTGCTAGTAATGACGGAATGTCTTTGTACGAAGACAAGTATCTCAACCTGGCATTGGGAGTCGTGTCTGGAGTTTCAAGACAAGTATTTTGATCATTTTTAGACATGCCATTTCAATGTTTTGCCATTGCCATGGCATTGTAAATTGATTTGCTTTTAGTATAGCTTCACTAGAACGACCAAGTATGTCCTCATATCGCATTTTTGTGTTGAAATAATCCTTCCATACAGACATTGACAAATATAGATGGTATTTATTTATATTGTTGTTGAAAAGTTATGATGTTTTAGGCATAAAGAACTCTGATTCCTAGGCAAAGTAAAATGAGCCTTGAGCACATGTTTGGTTGTTTGTTACATCATAATAGACCAAGTATTCATACTTATATCTTACTAGTTTGGTTCTTATTATAATTTCAAGTGGCACCATATAGATTATGTCTATAAAAAGTTTTTATTTGCAGTGACGAAGATATTGACCCTGTTCCTAGCTGCTGTTCCTGTTTCATAGCCTCAGGGAAGTAGCAGTTCTGAGTCATGAGAACCCCACTCCCCAACCCCATTAGGAAAACGTGCAAGTGTAGAGGGAAGGTACGGGATGAGTAGAGGTAAGCCCAGCCACTAGGACCCAAGGTTTTGAAAGCTCCCTGTCTAGCACCCCCACTAGGCCCCATAGTACATGACGGATATGGTGATCCTGACACTAGGAATATTACCCTATTACCCAGATTTTGCCCCTCACCAACATGTCCGGGATCCATTTCGATCAAGCTTTCACCAGAAGTATTAACTGTGAGCTTGAGTTCATTTGGCTCTTTTTTACTAAGGGAATGCTTCAGGAGGTAGTTTCCTGGCCATACCAATACATATGCTCACATACAAATAACCCAAAAATTATCGCCATATACTAATAAGAAGGGTCTTGGAGTCCACCAACCTTGAGGAGATTGAGAGGTTGATTGCCTTTTTAGTATATGCAGGTTTAGTAAAGGTCGACAGTGAGATTGAAAGTTATTGGAATGTAAAAACCTTATATCATGGTCTGTGGGCAATAGAAATAATTTCTTGGTTTAGGTACAAAGCACTGTAAAGCAAAGTTTCTGAATAAGGTAGATCCTGTCACTGAAGACTACAGCAATAAACTACATCAACAACTGTACCAGCCATCACAGAAAATTGCTGTTGACAAACACACTGTCAAATCAAAGAATAGGGTTGGGGATTAGGCAGTTATGAAAGATGGCCTACTATGTGGGAGATAAATCTGTGAGTTGCTGGAGACAGTCCTAATGGTTATATAGCGACTTTGAGATTTATACAGGAACAAGTCCAGAGATTCATCGTAAGATGGATTTGGGTATGACATGGTGAATGTGACATAAGTTTGGTTACAAACTTAGGTCTCTTGCTGTCCAATATATATTTTGTGCAAAAAAGGAAATATTTTAACCACATAATCCAATTATGTGCCTTGGCAAACATTACTGCCTTGGAAAACATAACTTTTTTATAACTACTAATGATGACGCCAGCCCAACAACACTTGGTCATGCTATATGCAAATATTTTCATGTTCTAGATTGTGAAAACAATCAATGTCTAAAGAAATGAGTAATGATTATTTAAAATTTGAATAGCATGACCAAATTTTCAGGCTGGTTATGCCACTGATAACTATAAGTCAATGGTGTACTGATTATCTAAGAATGTAATATAGTAACCGTAGAAATAAAGACATTTTGCAAATAGTGATTTGAGCGTTCTTTTGTGCATATCACAGACTTATTTTGATGCCATACTATCCTTGGAGTGAAAGAAATATTAGAAATTTGTATTGATAGTATGTTGCAGCAATGAAAAAGGACCTTTGATAAGGGTATTTGTTTCATGTGAGCACAAAATGTAAATTTTACTCAAATACATAGTTTATTCAAAAATTCAATACAAATACTTCCATTTATGCTACATGCATGAAACTTCAAGTGCTTGTAGATCACAACTGTGTCTTTCAGTTACATTCATAAAATTTTGGACATATTTGAAATTTGAACCGGTAGATACATTTATGCATAATTGCAACATTTTTTTATATCATAATTTATGCAAATTTATGCAAGTAAATCGTTAACCAAACTCCGGTTGAAATTGAAATTGGTATCGTTGGAAAGCGGAAGTCCTCTTTCGAACGATGCAATTTCTGTTTTCGCTATAGTCTTATTCGAAACAGAATCCAAAACTCTATTGAAAGTGTTATTTTCAAGCTTGTAGCCGTAGTTTTTTGTCTTTTATTTCGGTATTTCAATCTGTTGCGAAACTAATGAAATCAGTGGGATATTTTTAACCGGAAATACACTTTAGATCGCCCAAAACATCGCGTGTTTACATCCTAGTGCTCGGAAAACATTGGAAATCGATTCTAAAGGTCAAATTACATCTGCAGCGTGATTTTCACGTGCATTGGGCTACGGGATACTCCTTATTGGCCAATTTTACATGCAGCACACGCGTGCGAGTAAAAACCCGATATACTAAAAAATTCCAAATAAACATTTCTACTCGCCGTATTCAAACGAAACTTTCTACATAAAAGCACTTGAATACAAGGAATATTTCACTAATATTAACTTGTGGCGAATTCTGAAATGTCATATGACGAAACTGTAATATGACGAAACTGTAAACGTCATTCTTCATCACTCCAGCAGTACTTTTTAGAAAAACAATAAAAAATGAGGTAAAATTTTGGTGCATATGCACTTGAACATAGTCTGGAGACACCAACTTTATGCCACTTTCGGCATGCTTAGCCTCATAAAACTCTAGCTAATTAGTCATTTCGACGCTTGTCCGAATACGGAACTCACTGGCAAGCGACTCATTCGAAATCATGGCAGTTGATAAGGCATTGAACAGGCAGTTCCCATTTGGAGTAACCGATGCTGGTTGTCGACAGCCCACTCCTCCTGTTTATAGAGAAAAAAATACATATAAATTGTCAACTTTGCAAACCACGATTATTACCATTGAAACATCGACGGTCCGGGGTCAATATCTCCCAGAAATTTTGGATTTCTTGAAGCTCAGATAAGCTATTCGCCAGTCGATAATGGCTATTAGTAAAGCACGGAGCACTCGGAGCAGTATAAAAACGAAAATCCTTTATAATAAAATACACTGTTTACTGGTACAAATTTTTGTTCTTATTAATAAAGTTTTTTCGCGTTTTACACGTTGGGGAAGTAAGAAAATTGGGCTTTTAAAAAACACATATGCAAAACTGCCAAAAGCCATAGTTGTATTTAAAATAGGATTATGAAACTTGTTATCTTACATCTATCATTATCAAGCTCTGTGTGCTCCCTGTTTTACTAATAGCCGGTCGATAACGTATTGTTTCCCTCTCGTGCTGTTGCAAGGGAGACAGCCTAGTTTCGTCACTCTCACGTGAGGTGCTCTCAACCAATAAAACACTAGAAAAATGAGACTTTGACAATTGGTATATAATAAATTAATATATTTGTAGTATATTAATAACAATCTGGCAAGGTTATAAAGAAGATGCTCTTGACGACCTAAATCATCAAACTGTAGCAATATAATTCACTTAAGGGCTTATCATCCTGGAAACACCTACACAGTGCCTGATTAGAAACATAAAATGATACAAAAATTTTCCACTAAACTATTGGATTAAGTTGCTGATAAAAAGACTGGTTTGTAACACAGCTTTCAAATTAACATTTAGTTTTTCAAAATACTACAAATATTATTTTTAAAATATTACAGTAATTGGCACATCGTTTATTAAAGATTACGAAGTTGTTATGCAGTGTAATTCCCCACGGAAAATACTAGTGCACGTGGCAAAAGTTGTCGCTCACTTGTTTAAAAAAATTAGCTAAGCAAATTACTCGTATTATTTTATTATCACAAATATAACAAAAAAACTAATATAAAAACCTTACCAAGTTTGTCAAGAAGAGTTTTAGCAAGATAGTCGATCTTCTTGCCACGAATTTCAACATTTTCCTTGGTGTGTATATGGCATGATATGTTTCTTAACAGAATTTCTTCCAGAATGACCGCAGAACGCAGTGCCCCGAGCTGTCCTCTCGTATAAAAAGCCAGTCGCGATAGAGATGTTCACATTTGGCTGCGAACAACCACTACATACATAATCTTGCAGGACATCGTTTCCAAGAACCATCATCTGCATGTTGGTGAGGTGTTGGCAGTCAGCATGATACCACACACTACACTGGCCACAAAACACAGCCGGACGACCTGGTACTTCGCAATTAAGGTACCCTATATTTATATTTAAATGAAGTATTTAGTGGTATCTTCTACATATACCGCGGGACGGTGAGAACGGGGATTCAAGTATGGCGGACGAGAAATGTTAGATATTAATTGATGTAGTGTGAGAAAAGATATATTAAATTGAACTTATATTAATGGCGACAAGTGGAAAATCGAACTCGTGCAATAACTGAACATCGTAGTTAAGTACAGCATCTCCAATTTGAATGAGATATCAGAAATAAGGAAAAATGGCCGGCGTTTGTGAGAAAAATACAAGAGTTTTACAAACCCACAGACAACCCCACGCTTAAGAATTTTCATTTTCAGGCATTGACACAGCAAGACCAAGAATCCTTCCCGGCCTTCTGTAATCGTGTTGAAAAGGAGGCTAGACATTGTCAGTTTAATTGTGACAATGAAAATTGCTCAGCAGAAAAGATTGCAGTCCGAGATCAAATAGTGATTGGGACACATAATAATAAGATACGAGAGGAGGCATTGAAATTGTCATGAGATCTTGCCACCCTGAGACGCGAAGGCATGAGAATGGAAAGTGCACTAAGAGGAGGTGCCGAGATAACAGGGGAATCCGTCAATAGATTAGGTAAGTATTCATATGCACACATGAAGAAGAAGGATACGGGGCAAAGGACTGCAAAGAGAACAATAAACTGTTACAACTGTGGAAATCAAGTCGCTGGCCAAATTATGAAGCACAAGGAAGTATGCCCAGCACGAAATGTGAAGTGCAACAAATGTGGCAAAGCCGGCCACTTTGCTAAAGTCTGTAAGAGCTCTGAAGATATCCGACAAGTGGAGCCAGAGAACGAGAGGGAAGATGATGGGGTATACAACATTAATTTATTTAGTATCAAGGCTTCAGCAAGACCAGTCAAACCAAGGTTGTCATCAAGCATGTGAGATAAAAATGATTTCAAAACGCAGTTGGTAGTAAACAATTGCCTGGATACAGTGATAATTGATACAGGTGCTCAAGTCAGTGTCTGTGGAACGGTCCAAGCCAAAAAATTTTACATGCTGGGGAAAATAATTCCCTCAAAAGTGAGAATAAAGCCATATTCTTGCACTCCGATAGTGCATGGTCAGGCTCGATGTGCAGTTAACGTTTGGCCAAACATCTGTCCCTGTCATGTGGCATATCATCTCGGGATCGTGTGAACCAATATTAGCGGGGAAGATGGCCTTGCAGCTTGGTATCATTGATTTTAATGCCAACCCAGACACATTTCATCCAATCCTTATGATAGATGCTGAAGATAAAGGCAATCTTCAAGAAATATTGGCGAGGTATCCGCAAAATTTCAATGGTATTGGCAAGCTCCATCACCATAAAGTTAAATTACATGTAGACAAGGAAGTTAAACCAGCCAATGTGCCACCAAGACCATTTCCATATCATCTTAAGGAAAGAGCTCAGAAGGCGATTGAAGATATGATCCAGCAAGACATCATCGAAGAACACCCCAGGGATGAACCTGCCCCATGGGTTGCAAATGCTGTTTTGGCACCAAAGGATGACGGTAGTCTTTGGGTTACAATGGATGCCCGCAACGTAAACAAAGCCTTGTACCCAACAAATCACCCTATCCCACGTCATGAAGATATCAAAGCGAAACTATCTGGCTGTCGAGTCTTTTCCAAAATGGATTTTAAAATCCGCGTTCTGGCAGATTGAATTAGAGCCTGAATCGAGATACTTGACTGTTTTCCACGCCAACGATAAATTGTATCGTTACAAGCGCTTAACCATGGGCCTCAAACCAGCGCAAGGAGAATTAAATGCTGCGCTCCTCCCTGTATTGGCGCATATTCCCAACACCCATCTAATCCATGACGACCTCATCGTAGCTGCTAGGACGGTTCAAGATCATGATCGATCGGTTGACCTTTGTATGCAGGCCATTTCGGACACAGGGATGACACTGAATGCAAAAAAGTGCCAGTTTGGAAAGAAAGAAATTTCGTTTTGGGGAATGATCTATGGTGAAGATGGTGTTAAACCGGATCCCTCGAAGGTGGAAGCACTTGGACATCTTACTGCCCCGACTAGCAAAGAAGAATTAATCAGTTTCCTATGCATGATGCAATCGAACTCGGACTTTATTCCAAATTTTGCCCAGAGGTTGGCAAAGCTTCGAGAGTTGATGAAAGGGAGAGCAAGATTTGTTTGGAGCAACGAGCACCAGATATGTTTTCAAAGGCTGATTGACGCATTCCGGAAAGATATACTTCTTAGATACTTCGACATGAGCAAGCCAGTATGTATTCGTGGATGCTCACATGACCGGTCTAGCAGCAATGCTTGCCCAAGGGAGAGAAGCCAAACCAGTCGCATTTGCATCCAGAACGACCAGCCAAGCTGAAGCAAGATATCCTCAGCTCGATTTAGAGGCAATGAGTCTTGATTTTGGTCTAAGAAGGTTTTGCAATTACCTCGTAGGAGCACCACAGACGATCTATGTGGTAACGGATCATAAACCTCTTTGTTCTATTTTTAACAAGAACCAGAAGGGTTCAATCCGCACAGATCGTATCAAGCTACGGCATCAAGATGTTAGGTACGAGGTCGTGTACCAAGAAGGAAAGCTTATTCAAGTTGATTTTACGTCAAGGAAAGCCCAACCTTTACAAATGATGACGAACGAGGAGCGAGAAGAAGCAGAAGAGCTCAATAATCTCTTATATATGCTACCCCTTGTAGAACCAAACACTATTTAATTGCTATTTTATTGGGCTATTTAATTCCTATTTGTCAAAGTATTTATTTCCTATTTTTATTATTATTTTTTTTCGAGGTTTTTCCTATTTAAATTGGGGTAGAAAAGCTATTTTTTTCCTATCCAAGTGGAACCATATTTTTTTCCTATTCATGATATATTTCTAAACAAATACTTAATTGATGTACTCGAATAGAAATTAAATAGGTTTCAAATATGATAAAAATAGAACTATTTAAGGAAATTATTAAAAATATATAGTTTCAGTAGTATAGGAACTGAGGGTTCTAGACCACTTTTTCGCCCCGCGATCTCACCCAACTTCCGGTCAGCGGTTTCCATATTTTCCCCCGAAAAACGCAGGCTCATATTTTTCTAGACCATTTTTTCTGGTCTTTTTTACCTTATTTTTTTCTATTATTTCCAGTCGACTTTCATCCAATCTCTAAATTCTCTATTTAATATCTGATTTTTCCTCAAGCATTTTTAGGTGACCGTAACTTTCAGATTCTGGTCTAAATTCTAAATCATCCTTTTTATTTTGTGTACTTACTCCAATGTCGATATTATTGGATACGGAAAAATTTATATCACCAGCCCTCCTATTCCTTGAACTCTTACGGCAGCCACAGATCTTACCTAAGCAGGAGAAGCATGACCTCCACCTTGACATCTTATCTTATGATAAACCACATGTTAACTACCTGACCCCGAATATCGGAGTGACCAGCAAAAGGACATATCCATGCTAGTACCAGTGGGCATTGAGTGTTCAGGTTTAACTATAATACACCAGGCTAGCGTGTTATCTACCAACTCAGCCTGGGCTCCTAAATAGAACATACTATTACCCTTGAAAACGTAGCAAGCTGTACTTCCACCGGTAGTTGTGTAAGTTCCATTAAACCAGGTGTGTGACAGTCTTCTTAAGTCAACCGTGGCAAGAGTGATTTCCTTTTTAACCTGTGTAAATTTTCCATTAGATTGTTTTTCCCATACAGTAGCCCATAGGATTAGAGCTAGGGGTATATTTAGAATAGTTGAAAAACGTGGGTAGTCTGTTTTTATAGTTATTGATTCAAGGTTCAGGTCTGCCATATTATTAATAGGATCTGTTCTCCATGAAGGTGGAATCTGATCGTGACAGTAAGCGTAGTACCTTGTTGCTGCAACTGAAACACCACGATAACCCCAAATCCATTCTGCATGTATATGTCGCCGTATTCTTACATATCTTAAGTCAGCCGTTGCTTGAGTAAGGCCAGTTGAAGGTTTTAGGAAATTCTTTTCTACCCACTGTTTGTTAACAGCATCCTTATCATTTACAGGATCCTTTAGATCAAGGATTCCACTTGAATCTCCCATATCCAAATCACCTTTTACCAGTCCACCTCTACTACTCATGAACTCATATATTGCCCATCTCCTATTAACAGCTGAACCGTCAGTAGTAGGATTTCCAACTCTAGTCAACTCATAATCGTTAACATCTAAGTTACTAGCTAAAGTGCCACCATCACGCTTAAGAAACTGTGAGCACCAGGAAGTCATGGAACCATAAGAAACAGCACTAGAATCACCAGACGAGCCGCTATTTAGTCCTGTAATAGTATTACCAGCCATGTCAATATTACCGCTCATAGTAAAGCCACTACTACTTACAGAACTCCCACTTACATGATCCGTGACCCATTTCTTAGACACAGCAGAATTATCAGTTGTAGGAGCACCTAACTTTATAATTTCATTGTTTCCCATATCAAGGTCATCAGATAATGTAAGTCCGCTGTAGGTCTCACGCTTTCTTCTACCACCGCTAATCTTATCTGCCACCCACTTTTTATTAACTGCAGATTCACCGGCACTAGGAGAACCGACATTTTTTATTTCATTTCCACCCATCTTGAGAACACCAGTCATTTCATTTGAACCGTCCAATTTCAAGGCAAAGCGTGAAATTTGGTTAATCACAGTTTGAATATTGGGAATAGCTATTTTTGCACCAAGGTTGTTGGTAGTATAGATTGAATTACCATTTGCAACGGTTAGATCACCATTTAGAGTGAATCCTGATGTAACCCACCTTTTACTAACAGCTGATGTACTCGAACTAGGGTCACCTATATTTTTAATTTCATTTCCACCCATATTGAGGGCGCCAGTCATTGTTGAACCTGCAAATTTAACATATATTGAATCAAACCTAGATATTTTATCTTCTACCCACTTTTTAGGAACGGCTTCATTATCAATCCTTGGGTCAGGTAGTCCGAAAAGTCTGTATCCAGCCATTGATATATCAGCTAACATACGACCTCCAAGATTAACAAAATTATTATCAGTGGCCCACTTTTTTGTAACAGCAGACTGGTCCTCAGAGGGATCCTTAAGATTCTTAATCTCATAGCCCTTCATATCAATGTCACTAGCAATATTAAGTCCAGTTATAGGTTTATTTAGCATTCCAACTACCCAGTCCCTATTAGCTGCGGACTTTCCAGTTGTTGGATCACCAACATTTTCAATTTGATTTCCACCTAATTTAAGGTTACCAGTCATCACATATGAACCATCAGTCCGGACATATAGACTGTCTACATAAGATTCCAGTGCGCTTATTTTTAATAAAGTCCAATCCTTACTAACAGCAGAATTTCCAGTTGTTGGATCACCTAGAGCCTTTATCTCATTTGTTGACATATTGAGATCACTAGTAAGAACAAGTCCAGGTAAACTAGCACGGCTACCCTCAACCCAGCTCTTACTGGCAGCATCACCTGGGTTAGTAGGATTATCAAGATTAATTATCTTATTACCTCCCATGTTAATATCCCCAGTCATTGTAAACCCTGCAGGTTGAATTGTAAGAGCAGCCCGTTTAATGATCTCATCATCTACCCACTTTCTTGTGACCGCTGATGTATCATCTGTAGGAGCACCTAGACCTTTTACCTCATTACCATCCATCTCAATGTCACCCTTCATGGTAAACCCATCCTTATCAAACACACTACCACTTAATGGATCAACTTTATTTACTCCTTTGTTGTATCCTCTATAGAGAGCCATTTTATAACATACATAATGTTTACAAGATTATTTTCATTAGAATAAATACAACTATAGCACCAATTCCAGCTCCAGTGATAGCGCTAACTCCTGAAGACTCACGTGTACTAACCACATCATGTTTTATGATAGGAACAACTTGAGTCTCAGCACTTGTAGAACCTTCCTGAGGCTTAGCACTTGTAGGACCTCCTGGAACCTTTTTATTTCCATTAATAGTATCAAGGTGGTGAACTGGTGTAGTGTCTTGATGCTTTTTCTTTGGAGGATCAACTTGCTTGACGCCGGTATAATTTACCTTAGAATTCACACCAAATTTCATTGTATTAGTTGCCGTGGTTAGAATGTTATTATAACCAGGTATTGGGGTTATCAGAATGATAAAGTTTGATGGGGTCAGAACTATTCCAGGAGATAGAGCAGTGTTTAGAATCACATTTGTATCCCTCACAGCTTTCCTCATATTACTAATTGCTGTTACTGTATCACTTTGTAAAATAGTAGTAGCATTTACAACAGATCTAAAGTTACGTTGTGTTTGGAGAGCCTTTGGACCGTTTCCTTCTATTGACCACCTTGTGTTAGCTTGAGATCCCAACATAGCATACACATATGACTCAATACTTTCCTGGATGAGCTCAACGCCTAACTTAGTAAAGCCATTACTTTTTTCAGCTATGAATGAAAGGAAGTCATTATCAGATAGAGGTCCCGCACTAGTTGTACAACCACTTCCATCAATAATATATTTCTGCTTTATAGGAATATGGTTTCCCACAATATCAAGGTTGACATTAAGCTTATCAATAGCACTTTTACTAACCGTTAACTTTCTAGTTGTGTAGTAAAGATGGTATCTCATAATAGAGGTTATTATCTTTGGGATGGAATCACTTTCACGAATGTGTTCTAAGGATACTCCACTAAGATAGCTAGCTATATAAGCACCAGACAGCATTCTAGTGTATGGTATAGTATTGAAGGGAACTTTTCTTACATCCTTATTAGCTAAGTTAGGACCTTCATCCCAACCTACACCAGCACTAGGGAAGTTAGACATAAAATAACTGTTTTCATTTACATAAATTCTAAAGTTGTTAAAGTTATATGGAAGACTTACAGGAGGTCTATACGTGTTAATGTAATAACCATTATCATTAATTAAAACTCGACTGAAACCCAACTTTCTTTGATCATAAGTAGGATCCTTTGGTAATACGAGAGGTCCATACTCCTGAACAGCACCTTTACTATCCCAGAGTTGCGGCCATCCTTTTGGTTTTACGGGGGAAGATATTGTTAACTTGGTTGCAGTTGTACCTGGTAACTTTTCAGCAGGATCAGTCATAGGTATAAACTGTGCGGGGGTAATAATTTTCTTAGTACCTGTGAGATAAGATGTAAACTCCTTATCCTTCTTAAAACCGTCATATCTAATGTCATATGAAGATATACCATCTAAATCAACAAACCAAGTGATAACTCCTATAGCACCACTACTAGTAGCCTTTGCTTCAAACTTAAACCTATTCATGTCAGCGTGAGGGTACTTTTTAATAAACCTAGCCCTCTCAGCATTCTCTGCATTTTTACCAGCAACAGGATCAACATGATCTCCATCGTCTTCGCTTCCATACTTTTTTTCATAGTCCTGATACGACCGATACGGCGACTTACCAACTTGTCCTCCACCTAGTCTCATTCTTAATAACCTAACGTATGTTATTAAGATGAAGTTCACAATTTTACTCCAGAGTTCGCACACAGTTGTATCACTACAAAACTCAGTTCTAACAAGCAATTATAATTCAGTCTTTGTGAAGAGAGTTTCAGTTTTCTGGGAATATTTCAATATAAGAGAACCAACAACTATTCTCAAAGTGAAAACAGATGATGGAGAATCTGATGTAATTATTCAAAAAGGTTACTACACATTTGACAGTATGAGAAAATTACTTGAGAGACATGGTGTTGAACTAACATATTTTCCTGAAACAGCAGGATGCCAAATAGAGGCAGTAAAACAGGATATCACAATAGATACACGATTACTGGCCATGCTAGGTTTTAGTAGATTTTTAAATCCTATGATCCTACTAAAAGGGAGGAGTCTGACAAGTGACAGCAAAGTTGACTTTAATAATGGTCTACGATGTGTAAATATACACTGCAATCTAGTAAGTAACAGTTTTAACGTTAACCCTTGGGGAAGACCCAGCGATGTAATAACAAGTGTTACAGTTCCAACTGACAGACCATTATTAGGCTCAGTAGTTAGTTACATTGATGTTGAAAGCAGGATTTCAGTTATTAAGGGTTCTTTCTCAGAACTTGTATTCCACATGACAGATCAAGACGGAAAACCTATTGATATAGGTGAAGTGCTTATTGAGATGTACCTTGAGTAGTTAGCTTACATTGGTTAATATAAGATGGACGATGATATTATGAAAGAACAGGGACTACGAGATATTTACTACAATCCTAAGACTGGATTTCAAACACCAGAGAAACTATATCTTAGAGCAGTATCAGACAGACTTAAAGTAACCAGAAACCAGGTTAAGAAATGGATAAACGAGCAAGACACATACACTAGGTACAGACAAGTGTTTAGGAAACATAAGTTCAGGCAGACGTACGTTCAAAGGTGAACAGTTACAAATGGATTTAGTTGACATGACAAAGTATGACGACAAGAATAAGGGATACCGATGGATTCTCACATTAATCGAAATACTAAGTAGGTACGCATTCACAGTACCAGTGTATAGGAGAAATGCGACATCAATGAAGGACGCAGTCAGTAACATTCTAGAGCAATTTAATAATCGTTTTGGTAAATACCCAAAATTCGCCCAGTTTGATCAAGGCACAGAGTTCTACAACAAAGAAGTAAAGTCATTACTCAATAAACATAACATTGAGTTTTTCTCTACTTACTCAGACAAAAAGGCTGCAGTTGTGGAAAGATTTAACAGAACACTGAAAGCGCTAATGTGGAAGTACTTTTACAGTGCCAGTACATACAAATGGTTAGACGTTCTTCAAGACTTAACTGATAATTACAACAGTTCAGTGAACAGATCAATTAAAACAACACCGGACAGTGTAAATGAGTCCAACTGGACTGAAGTATGGAAGACACTTTTTAGTCACAATTTAGGCAAGCCGCCAGAACCAAAGTTTGCTGTGGGAGAAAGTGTCAGGATCTCAAAGTACAAATCAGTGTTCACAAAAGGATACGAAGCAAATTTCACAGAGGAGTTATTTACGGTGACGGAAGTGTATCACGGACATCCAAACACATACACAATAGAAGACAGTGCTGGTGAAGCAATAATTGGCAGATTCTATGAACAAGAACTGTATAGCGCTGAAGGAAGGGAACCTGATTTTAAGATAGAGAAAGTACTAAGAAGAAAAACGGTGAAGGGTAAAAAGATGGCTTTCGTTAAGTGGTTAGGTTATGATGACAAATTTAACAGTTGGATCCCAGCTGGAGATATAAAGTCCCTAACATAAGTTAAAGTATTATGGAGGACTACGATGACATTGAGTTGGAGGAGACAGAAAAAACTTATCCTCAATATGACGATCTTAATTATGATGACCTAACGACTGCTTTTAGTAGGTTAGATACAAGGGTGAAGGGAGAGGCTATGTATGGTGATGACCCTATAGTATTAACTGATCTTAAAAGTGAACTGGACTATGTAAAGAATCTCATGGAGAGACATGCAATAGCAGAACCAACTTTTACCGAAGGAAATGATGGTACAGTGAACATTTCAGGTCCATCAGGAAGCACAACCGTCCCGGAAGTCAACTTCGTGGAAGACCCAAACAATGTACTTTCAGATGTGCTAGATGCATTCAACGAATCATTTGACGCTGACTGGGATGAAATAGAAGCCCGCCTAGAGAAACTGAAAAAGTTCTCAGAAGACCAGCTCACAGCAAGTAAAAAGAGAGATTTCGAAAACCAGGTAGAGCGTGTTCAAGCTGTTACAAGAGTTATCAAGGGTAAGGAGGGATTAATACTAGACCCTAAGAATAAATATGTCAGGGAACTCATAAAACGATCATCTGTAAGAACACTCAAGGATGGCACAGAGGTGTTGGTATTTAGAAGTGAACAAGGTATTGACAAAAGTGGCACACAAATAATGAAACGTGGTAAGACCAATATTCCTGTGTACTCAAAGGACTCACCTGCTCTTAGAGAATATAAGGACCTTCTAAAGAAAATAAAAGAGGTACCTACGAATCCTGACAATATAATTGGAAGTGATGAATCAATTTATGAGGATACTAAAGAAGAGCCGCAATTTGATGAAAGTAGTGAGAAATACGCTGACCGTGAGAACATTGAGTTAATAGACATAAGTGCAAAACTAGGAGATCTTCCAGGGCTAACAATGCAAGAAAACAATGAACTGAGAGGAGTTCTTAACCCACCTGACGAATCAAGCATAGAAGGCAGAACAGGTCCCAGTGGAGCGTTACAAGTCCAGGCTGACTACTTTAATGAAGCTATTGGTGAAACCGTGGAACGTGCCACCTCTGCGGAAGGTACAACTGAGTATAATACTCTTATAGAAAGAATTGACAGTTTGAAGGAAACCAGGGATAGGACACTAGAACAGAGAACTGTAGAGGAAGCAAGAGAGGCACAGTTGGAAGACATTTCTAGATTACGTAAGTTTATAGACTGGGTAGGAAAGGAAAAGGTGGGACTTGTAGGGATAGCAGTGTCAACAGCTAGTTTAATTACAGCCTTATTAATCCATGTTAGGGGAGCCATTGTGAAGACAGCAAAGGTCACTGGTAAAGTAGCAAAAGCATTAGCAAATTTAGCAAAGAAAGCAGGACCAATTCTAGTTCCAATCCTGAACACCATTGCAACGACGCTATCATGGGGAGCCAAAGGAATTGCCTGGTTAGCATCACACTTATGGGTACTAGCTATAGCTGCAGCCTTAATGGTATACAACTATTACACAAAGTAAATTAGCTATGGAGGAACACCAAGAGGAATACGATGACCAGAAAATGGAGGAGCTGAAGGAAAAGTATCCGAGCTATGAAGAAATGAATATAGAAACTTTAGATAGCGAATTACCGTACCTTGACAAGGATCTTAGGGAAAGCGAAACTACTGAGGAGACCCAGGATATTAACGAGGAAATTAATTACGTACGGGAACTGAGGAGGAGAAAAATATTGGAAGCAAGAAAGGTGGAGACCTTACTAGAGAGCAATTAGCTGAGAAATTCCCTGACCTATATAATCTGTCATACGATGATCTAATGGATAGGGGAGACAGACTGTTAAATGAATTAATACTATCCAATTTGGACAAAGACAGTTTCAAAGAAAAGTCGGAAGAACTGAGATATGTCAGAATGCTATCAAATGATTACCAAAGAGAGTCAAACTTAAATAAACTTCTCAACTTGAGAGACAAAGTGAAAAAGAGGGATCTCATTAAACGGGATGATCGTAGGAGACTGCAAAGGCTCAGGTTATGGGCAAGGGAGAATGCAGGCATCTTATCAGCTGTTCTAATTTCCTCATCAGCTGTAATCATAGGACTGGTAGCATCAACTAGAAACATATTGTGGAAAGTAGGTGACACAACAGAAAAGCTCGATAAGCGGATCAGTGAGTTGGTAAGCCACCAAATAGAACTACCACCTGTATTTCAGAAGATAGCCGATGGAGTAGAGTTAGCAGCGGATAATATATGGATAATCATTATATGTGCAGCAGTAGTTTTACTATACCAGCTACGCTAGTAGCGGCTACGCAGGCTACACCTAGTACAAATACAACTAAACATTACATATTGTATAAGCATGAATACCATAGAAAGAGAACTCCAGCCTGGCTTCAGGAGAAGCCGTATGACATCCATAAAAGGACTTAGAACTAGAAGTGTTGTAACTTTCAATCCAACAACAATTAGCCCAGGAGAAGAGCTGTACATTAACATTCCTAAATTAAAGCCTGACTCTTGTTTAGTTCCAGGATCACTTGCACTATTATTTGACTTCAAAAATTCAAATACAAAAAGCAGGTTTAACAATAACCTAGCCAAATTGATTGCAAAACGTCTTCAGGTTAAAGTAGCAGGTGAAACAGCTTATGATTGTTCAGGAGAGAGTTTGTACGAAATTTATAAAGATCTATGGCTAACACAGGGTGACAGAAATAAGATGACAGAACAGGGCCTCGGAAGTGAAAACCTGAGAAAGCTAATATCAGGTGACGACTCAGGAGTGAAAGTAGGTGATGCAGGTAAAATAGCAGATGGACTTCTCCATAGTGTGTACGGCTCCAAACTTAGAAAACCAATTGATAAGATCATTGCAGACCATGGACTCTACGTACCATTCTACATGAACAACAATCCTATGTACATCCTCACACTTCCGCAATCAGATGAAATTATGACGGCTCAAGGAGGTGAAGATAAGGGTAATTATAAACTAGACAATCTCGAGTTAGAATATGAAACCATTGAGAGTGACACCCTTGCAGGTGAAGTATCAAGGATGTATTCAACAGGCCGCTCATTATCCTACAAACATGTCACTCTCATGCGTACAAGTAATTGGGACAAAGATCTTACCATTGTGAATGAAAACATAAATATCCCCCGAAAGAGCATGTCAGCAATTGTCCTTCTATTTACCAGCAGAGCAAGAACCGATTCTGAAGAATATATTTACCCAAACATTGATAAAGTGAACCTTACCATTGAGGGTGTGCCTAATGCAGTCTTCTCCCAAGGACTTCCTAAAAGTAGGTTCTTTGAAGAGGCAAAACGATTCTTTTGCCCTATGTGTGAGAAAGCCATGGCAGACGAATTTATGTCCATCAGTAAGTTCTTCAGCACCGGTTTCGCCCTAGTAGTAGATCTAAGGTCAACACAGGATGACACCACTGGAGGAGGTAGAAAGATTGTTAACACACAATCTGGAGTACTTATGGAAATTAATAAGAGAGCCACAGCAGCAGACGTTCAGTGTAATGTTTTTGTTGTATCAGACGCTCTCCTTAACTTTGCTAGTAGAGATCTATCAAGTATTCAATATTAACTTGTACTAACGGTAAAGCATAGAGATGAATATAGAGCCACCATTTAATATGCTCATAGTAGGAATGACTGGAAGTGGTAAGACTCAGTTCTTACTTAATATGTTAGAAACAGAGTACAATAAAGTTTTCGATTATATTGTTATTATATGTCCAACAATAGAATGGAATATGACTTACATTAATTGGGCTCATATTAGTGACCACGGAGTCATACAAATTCCGTGCTCACAAGAAATGATCAATCTTATTCTAAAGGCAGTGTCCACCATATTCCGCGGAACTCAGACTCTCATTATAGTGGATGATTGTGCTGCAAGTCAAGATGTAAAGAAAAGAGTCTCAGAATTGGTGCGCCTAGCATTCTCTGCAAGACATTACAATATATCTGTCATTGTAATTACCCAACAACTGTCATCAATAGCAAAACCATTCAGGGAGAACATTTCCAGGTTAGTTACATTTTATAACCCTAGTCGCAGAGATATGAAGGTCATAACAGATGATTACCTAAGTGGCGTTCCTCAGGAGACAATTACAGAGATTACAAAAATACTAAAAGATGAGAAGTTCACCGCATTAGATACACTCCTCATTCACCCTTACACATACACCGTTAAACTAAACACCGCGTAATATATAGAAGATGGGAAGTGAATCTGAGGAAGAAATATTCGAGGTTGTGAGAGAAGTTGAAGAGGCCGCAAAGACGCCGCAAAAGAAAGCAAGAAAAACTAAGCCCACCGCAGATAAGTCGCAGACTGAACACAAAAGGAATAAGCTTATCGAGCTATCTAAGGATGGTGTAATTGATAAGACCGCAAGTTTCATAAGAAAGTCAAACAAAGATGTTGTGGATAGACTTTACAGTGAGTATGAGAGTCAGAGGATGTCATGCGCAAGTGACTTCTTATCAACACTTATTATCTCAAAGTTTGCTTCCATACTAGGAAGTTTTAATGCGGTGGAATCTTCTGAGAAGCTGTCAGAGGAACTACTTAGTGATAAGCTTTTAAAGGATGACGTATGTTATTTAACTAGAATGATATCCCCAAACACTCCATTCATTGGTCTCATATCAGGTGGATGCACAACAGCTAAGCACGTGGTGCTCACAAGTGGAATAAGAAGGAAAAGACTGAGGAAATATCTGAGGAAGCAAAACAAATCTTATTACATAGTGAAGAAGAATGTCAGACCACGAGTGGGAGAACGCTTGGGAAGGAACAGAGTTCGAAGACATAATTAACGAATTGATTGAGAAAACCAATAGGAGCACGGAAAAGATAGATAGGATTGGGAAGAAAGTTGACGCAATTGAGAGGGACTTATATGCTCTCAGGAATAAGGTTATACTACCTCTCCAGAATGACTTCTACAACTTTAAGGATGACACAGTTAAAACAGTAATAAAGATATACAAGAACCTTCATGGAGTATAGTATTTTATTTGCTAAGGGATGTACATAATAGTCGGAGCAGTTGGGTGGGTAGAGGGAATGCTGCTTCATAAATCAAAATTAAATAGCAATAAAATAGGCCCAAAAACCCCTACATATATAGTATAGAAAAAGATGGAAAAACTATTCAGAAACCGAGAGTTGAATGTTAGCGTGAGAACTGTGAGGTTGGGTGAGGAGATACTATTTTACGCAAAAGATGTAGCAGAGTCCTTAGGGTACGCAGATACGAAGAGGGCAGTTCAGAAACTAGTTAGGAAGCAAAATAAGGTAAGCGTATACGAGCTACGCAAGGGAGACAATTTGTCTCCCTTTGAAAAATGTCACCCATACGAGCTACGCAAGGGAGACAATTTGTCTCCCTTTGAAAAATGTCACCCACAGACAATAATACTATACGAACCTGGTTTGTACCAGCTAATATGTAGCTCAAGGCTTCCAATAGCGGAGGACTTTCAAGATTGGGTATTTAAGGAAGTCCTTCCATCTATCCGCAAAACAGGCTCGTATGAATTACCAGATAGAAGGTCACTCAGATATAACCAAATGATCCTTATAAATGAAACGGACCTTCATAATGTCATTGTAAGTTACATTAGAGATAACTACCCAGAGGCTGTAATATTACCTGCTCTAGGTGAGTATCAGGATACAGTGTCAAAGAGATGTGACGCTTGGAAGAAGGGATATAAAGGTGGTCAACCAGATCTTATCATAGAGAATCCTATGGGGAAGTATAAAGGATTTGCTATTGAATTTAAGTCTCCCAAGGGCACCGGAGTTATAAGTGAGAATCAGGATATATGGTTTAGGAAATTGAGGGGAATAGGGTATATGACAATGGTATCAGATGATCTAGTAAAGACTTGTATTAGAATTAATGAGTACTTCTCACTTAAGAAGACTATAAGAAAGACCGTAGTGAAAAATGTAGTTAGTGATGTAAAGACGTACAGACCAAGGTTCAATTCAGGTAAGTACTAGCTACTGACGTAGACGGTATTAAGTTATCTCACAAACAGACCCGAGTTATCTCACCAGTTATCTCACTAGTAGATTTAAGTTATCTTACAAGTAAATTTGAGACATCTTAGAAGTAAATTCAAGTTATCTCACAAGTAGAATCTAAGATGTCTCATAAGACTAAACCCAGTTAAACCTAAGGTATCTTACAAGTAGAATGGAAGATAAACCTGAGCAAACTCAAGCACAAGCAACAAGTGAGAAGAAGAAGGACCCGAAGAGAGTAGCTGCAGGAAAACGATTAGCTGCAATCAGCAAAATAGCAAAGGAGAGGAAAAAGAAACTTGCGGAACCTAAGGAGCCATCAAGTAATGACAGTATCATTACCTACATAGGAGTGGCCATTGCACTGGTATCTCTAGTGCTAGCATTCAAGTCGCATCAGCGGGAAACTAGGGAACAGGAACCCAAGCACGTAACTGAGACTGTCGAGATAACTAGGAAAGCTGATGAGTCCAGGTTAGATTCACTTGAATGATACATTAAACATAATATATATTATAACAAGATGAGTAAAGAATCAAAGATGACGAAGGAAGTGTACGACGCAGTGTTACTCACAGCAGGAGCAATCGGTATTTCAATGGCATCAAAGAAACTATTAAAAGAACCATTAGGCACCCCAGAGAACGTAAAAGGAATGGCAAAGTTAGCTGTCTCAGTTAGTCTTTCATCCCTACTAGTATCTTACCTGAAAGATAAGAAGTATCTACCAGATGATCCATTCAAAACCTAGGTAAGACTATGTAATGGCAGCAACAGTAGCGGGAGGACTATTTAACGCATTTGCATTTGCGGGAGCAGGGTTCTTATTTAAAATGTTTGATAAGAATGGATATGCTAAGGAAGCCCATAGACACAACATTGCAATGGAGAACCTAACAGCCGAAAGGGAGAAGTACCTTGAAGAAGTCACTGATAGAAGAAACAAACTTGCCCAATTAAGGTCAGAATTAGCTGAGGCAAATAGGGATATTAATGCAACAAACAAATCACTGGAACTCGTTAGAAGAATCAATGAGTTAACACATACGGCTATGCCGAGGAGGCCGCAGTTAAGCAATCACTACAAACCTAGCTCTGAGATGGAAGAGTATATGGCAATCTTTGGTTTAATTGTAGGTGGGGTGGTTGGAGGGGCAGCTTATTTATTGCTATAAAATACGGTAATTTTCTTTTACATATATATTATAGAGAAATGGACTGGCTTGCAATGGTAGACGTTGATGAAGTGGTGGCCCTGGGAAAAAGGGTGGACACCATAGAAGAACTGGAGGCTGCAGTTAAAAAATATGTGGAATGGCGAATAATGAGGCGTAAAAATAAACCACAAAAACAAGCAGAAAATTTTAACACATATAGTATAGGGGATGGACTGGCTGACACTGGTAACACCTGATGAAATGGAACGAGTCGGTAAGAAGGTGAACACCATTGAGGAGCTAGAGGCTACAGTAATGAAGTACGTGAGAAATAAAATGAAGGTCAAACATACATATGATCCAGTATGTAGTGAATGTGGTAGTAAGTCAATTGTGGTAATAGATGGAGCAGATACATGCACACGTTGCGGAACTAGTGCTATGAACAACTTCACATACTACGTTAGTTACAATCACAACAAGGACGACTACTTGAAAAAGAAATCGTCCCATAATAGAGTCCGTTGGTTTGAGAGACACTTATTCGAGCATGTTGCTTCTGGGGATAGGGATACCATACGGGAGCAGTTTAGAAGCATCGTAAGATGTATACAAAGACTTAGACTGCAACGGGGGCGCAACATAGTTAGATATAAGTTTTACCTACTAAGGTTAGCCAGCATGAACAACATCATGTTGAGAAACCCACCTGAGGACATTAAGACTCAAAGAATTGTGAACATCCTTGAGGACAGACTATATGGAAAGGTTTTTCCCGAGCTGGGATGGAAACCCGGGAAGTGTAAATATTATAATAACTGGAAATTCAGACATAAATAAAACATTAAATAAATATTAAATTATTAAATAAAAATTATTTAATTAAATAAAATATTAATTATAAAATTAAATAAAATATTAAATTATTAAATAAAAATTATTAATTAAATAAAAATAAAATAGGCCTTTAAATAGGCCTATTTTTTTTTACCTATAGTATATAGAGAGAGTGAAAAATGGCGACAAACTTTGACATGAACAATATGACCGTTGAACAACTTATGGCGCTTAGTGACATAATTGATGATAGCGACTATGAGGAAAGTTTTGAGGATGAAGTGGAGAGAATATCTGAGGACAAGTTCTATCGAGTTGCACCTAAGGATAAGGGCAAAGATCCCTTTGAAGGAGAAAGACAATTCATAGATGAAGGTGACCGTTCTACAGACTCAAAAAGACCAAGGAGACGCCCATTAAATGAGAAGGGTGAGAGAGGTATAATGCCAACATGGAAATATTCCGAGAGACAGAAGGCAAAGGCTTTACTAGTCGAGGAGGCGTATCAGAGCCTACTTAGTAGAGGAGTTAAAGGCTTACCACCAACAATGGGAGGTAGATGGAGAACGGATGATCCTCAGGTAAATGCGGAGATGAAGAGGTTAGAGAACCTTAGGAACCCAAAGCGTCCTAGAGGCAGGCCACCAAAGGTTAAGGTTGATAGTGAAGCCAAGGTCCCAAAAAGACGTGGAAGACCATCACAGGTCAAGGCAGCCGAAACACCAGAAGCTAAGGTCCCCAAACGAAGAGGTAGACCACCAAAGGTCAAGGTAACTGAAACACCGAAACCTAAGGTTAAAAGACAAACTGTCGCGGAGAGGTTTATAAGTCAAAACAGAATAAAACTCTCAATTCCTGCGGATAGTGTGATAACTCAGGTGGGACCAGGTAAGTTCACGGTGACCGTGGATCTTAGTAAGAAACCAACAAGGAAAGCTCCTGAGGTACCGAAGGGTGTTGCTCCATGGAAACCTATTCCTAAGCCTAGAACTGTGATCCCAAAGGAAAGACCTGTTCCTAAACCTAGAACCGTTCCTAGGGAAAGACCAGTTCCCAAGCCTAGAACTAAAAAGCCAGCGCCCCCTCCAAAGTTAAGAAAGCCTGCGAAGGTGACTAAGGAAGTTGGGGAACAGCCGGTAGTGGTCGCACCAGAGAAACATGAAATTGATCCTTTTGGAACATACCTTGAGAAGCCGTCCTATAGGAAAATAGAAACTGCCGCAAATGGTGCAGCTGTGACTTACTCTATAACTCCAAACTACATGGATCCCCTGAACCAGATGACCGCAAGTAGGCAGGTGGTGAGGGGAGTATTAGTGAACGAGTTGAAGAGAATGGGAGGGCTGAAATATACGGAAACCATCAAGGTAAGAATGTCGAAGGAAATTGGAAATGATAAAACAAAGAAGGATTCAATATA